ACCAAAAACTAATCAAAACCTAGCATTAGTTCAGAGCATCTATGTACCAAGTTTCATCAAAATCCAATGAGTGGTTGTTTAGATATCAGTGGAACAGTCATGGAACCACTAAAAAATAGCTAATTATCATGCAAATTAGGTAATTAATATGCACGGATTTTTACCAAAAATTAATCAAATCTGCGCATATGTTCAGAGCATCTATGTACCAAGTTTCATCAAAATCCAATGAGTGGTTCTTTAGATATCAGTGGAACAGTCATAGAACAGCTAAAAATTAGCTAATTATCATGCAAATTAGGTAATTAACGAGCATGGATTTTTACCAAAACCTAATCAAATCTGCGCATTGGCCCAGAGCATCTATGCACCAAGTTTCATCAAAAACCGATGTATGGTTCTTGAGATAGCAGTGGAACAGTCGGACACACATACACACATACACACATACACACATACACACATACACACATACACACATACAGACACACTAACTGCAAAGACTCCCATTTTGTGCTTCGCACATGGGAGTCAAAAACAAAACTCAAATACAGGTGTTTGTCACACTTATGAAGTGCTTCTCTGCTGTAAATGAACGTAATTAAGGTACATGATGAAACTTCAGTGAAATAAGGCACAATCCGTATTACAACCTAATCTGATCCATATATACATAACTACAATCGAACACTAGCTCAGTATAGAACTGGATTATTAGGTCATTGTACTATTATAACACAAGTGGAAAAATAAACGATGACCTTTTACCCCTATTTGACCGTTGATGAATGATGGACACCAAGGCAGCCAGGGCAGACAACCCACCCACTCACTTAAATAGGCTGTGCAGTGGTAAAACAAATTGACCAGCTGTTAATGTTGACAATGTTAACATTTATAGATTTGGGGAAACACAAAGAAAACAGATACGCAATGGCAATGATTGATAACTTCTCCTTGAAAGTTTATCCTGAGGACCCAGAGAAGATGCGAGATTTCTAACATGATCACCAACTATAAGTATGATTCATAAAGATAAGAGTATGTGACTTCAGTGATATGCGTTATGAAGATTTAAATTTGAAGCGATGTGAATTGCAAGATATCATCACAAAATGCAGGGTCATCACAGGTCGCAGCTTATAGAATTTCAGATACATTTGTGGTAGTGGAAAAGATGTGGTGACATTTTTGAAATCTCTGTCTGTTATTGTTTGAAAGCATGTAAATTGTGGAACACATTTGAACCATACACCCGAGAAAAGGGTTTATGATTTCATGTGGGGGGGGGGGGGGTCACAGTGACATAGTTATCCCATATCCCATCCTATTCTATCCTAGTTACAATAATTATTGAAAGTTGAGAAAACAAAGTGCTGCCTAGTGCTACTGTATATTAATCCTGTTGTCAGGAGAATAATTTCACGGAAAATGGTGTAAATTAAAAGAGAAGTTGTGCATGTTTCCAGTGATATGTAAGTATCCATGGTTATGTAAATACACCAATCAAGGAATAATCCATTGTCAAACATTACTGTTCTACTAGCATTCACTGACTGTTTACAAATAAGCTATAGTTCAAGTGCAACTGATAAGACACAATAAACATGTACTTCATCTAAGTCTCTCCGAAGACAAACATTATGGAGAAACTTATACCATGTCCTTACTAGAAAAATTTACAACCTCAACGTAAGTTGCGACTGTAAATAAAAAGATAAGGATCTCATAATCTGGCGTAATCACCAGCAATTCTTACAAAAGATGTAAATATGCCAACCACTAAATAATGCGCATAATGGTGTTTTGTCTGACCGTATATTTATCTTTTTTGTGTACTTTTTCATTCAAGCAGTAATAAGTAACATTTATAAGTTGCATTTCACCACAGCTCCTTAAGCACAGGCTAAAAGGTCAATTCCTTAGCCCATGCTGAGAAAACGTGCATGAGCGCTTAGCACGGGCTGAGGAATGCTAATTACGGGTAAAATCTGATATGATTTTAAGACGCGGCCCAGACCCTTAGCATGGGCTAACGAAGTGTGCGTGAACGCTAAGCCCAGGGCTAAGCGCCCTCTGTGGCAACCTTTAGGTGTGAATATTATGCATGTGATCCAATATATGCAACTTTCTCATTTCCAAAATGACAATTGAGCTCAGTGTGTATGAAACTTCATTCCCTCGCAAAAACTGGAGCGACGAAGAGACAAAAGCTTTACTGAGTATATGGAAAGACAGCGAAATCTTGAGACAGTTGAACACCTCGCCGAGGAACAGGAAAAATGCTTAGCCAGGATATGCAAGTTAAATTAGAAGGATTTTTCGTAAACAGCGGCTTAATTAACAAAGGTCACCAGCTGATGGCGCCCCTTAGCCCGTAAGGACTGGCCCTTGCAGTGCGTGAACGCAATTGGGTCTAGCAAAAATGCAAATATGCGAGTTAAGCTTAAATCTTAACCCGTACTTCGTGTAGCGTGAGCACTACTATAGTAACAATTCATGGCCATGTCAAATGACATAATAATATACAAACTGGTACATATAAAAACTTTTTGGAACATGGAGCTAATCTTTATTTAGCTCTATGTTACTTTGATTTTAACAATGTATACAGGTCAATATAACAACCTAAACTGACACACAATGCGAGCCTGCCCACCTAAGATAAACTTAATACAGTTGAATGAACATTGCAATTCATATTTAAGCCCCATTACGCCAGTGTAACATATTTTAAGTTGATACATGCATCATTTTTTAGTTTGTATTATTGGTTTATTTGTATGTCACACAAACCCTGCTACACCAAAAATGTTTTAGGAAGTGTCATTCCCAAATTAAACGTTATAATGTTTGCACAGATTCAGGATAGCGAGAATACAATGGAGGAGTACACTATTGTCTCAAAGAGTATAGTAATAGCATATTTAGACAATCATATGTAATAGTAATTTAACATATAATCAACCTTTACTAATTGCTTTTCTATAAAAGTGGTTCATTTTTAACACAAAATTCATTTTGGCTATTCACAGAGGCTTTCAGTAGGAAAATAAAGATTACACCACACTTAAATACTGTACAGGGCTCTGTATTGAAACCAACTTCATTGTCACTCTAATTATAGATAGCTACATTAAAACCCAGTGTATTCAAAAGCACAATGCATTATGAGAAAGAAATTTAATGAATATTGTATGTATTTATACTAAAATCAAGTAAGGCGGATACGTTATAAATTATTTAAAAAAAATTATACTCAAATGACAAATAACAGTTATACAGTTTATGATCATGTGCTTGTCTAAACGCATTTTAATTTATGTGTGAGCACATCTTGGAATGCAGAGAGATGCATGCTCAACCAAACAATGTTGTTACATTTAAATTTGAATGAACTGATTTTGAATTAATACAGTTGAGTTTATAAGTTTCCTTCTGACTATAAACATGGCTTACCTGACTTCAAAGTAACAAAATACAGCACATAGTAAAGACAAAATTCAAGATACGATGAAATACTTGCATACTGCAACAAGCGTGAGTGCAATTTTTAGAGTCATACTGGTTAAGTTTTTCGAGTTATCATTATTGTTATTTTATTTTAAAGGCTGAATATTATTTGTGCTTTGGTGACTGAACAGTCAAATTCAGGAAAAAAACTTACTTTTCATAAGCATCTTTCAAGTCTCTGCACAATTTACTTTTTGGTAACATCAGTCTGAACGGCGAGTCAAGACAGTCTTCGGGGAGCGCTGCCACTTCATCATGTACTGAAAGCATTATCTGTGCTTGACTACTCAGGAATCCACATCGTCTTTCCTCATGTTTCAAAGCTATGGACAATCTTTTGGAAAGATCGTGATAGCAGTGGACCACGGATTGGAACACATCACCCTGGATAGAGGGAGATTTACACTTCATGATTTTGGCGCACAGAAAGTTCTGTGTTTATTATGTGTTCATCATTTATTGGAGTGTCAACACTTATTGTTGAAAAGGAACATCAAGCTAAATGAAGAATTCATCAGAAACAGTGTTTATTTTTGATGGTTAAATCTGGGGAAGTGTACATTAGCCATTCAAAGCACTATCATACCTACAGTAAGCGTTTTTCTAAATCAGGATACTAAATATTACACAATCAATATTGGAAGCAAAGTATGACAAATCATTCAGATCTTTTCATATCAACACGAAAACAATTTCCATGCTTTGATCCTAACAGCTGACAAATATTGTCTAAGTTTGGTTTTTACATTTCTGAAGATCCGAAAATCTGAAGATGGTTGTAAAATAAATTTTAGATACAAGAAGAATGATGAGAATGAAAGATACAGTGTTCATATTATTACAAGTGCGCGTAAGCCCCACCAAAATTGCATTTCCTGTATACTGGATTATTAAACTACTAGTAGGAAATATTTTGACCACAGAAGTACCTCTGTAATTCATGTAAGTGCATACAATACTAATACTACACAGTAACATAAACATTTGTTATAAAATATGTCCCAAACTAACCTGTAACGCAAACACTACATTGAAAAGAATCATAGTTGGCGCCTCTTTACTTCGTTTTTTCTATAGAATGTAGAAATAGAGAATATATTTTAGAATTTTATTGGAAATATTGGTTTAAAAAAGATGAATTTTCATATTCAACAAAAGATTTCAGGTGTTAACATCATTGTATTGTATCATACTTTGTATACTTCAATCCTTTGATTTCAAGAATATTTTTTATAAGCAATGTCTTGCTTAATGACTTCACAAGTTGCCAAGGTACTATTATATTGTGCATAAAAGTTTCAGTCATAGAACTTTCAGCCACCATTTCCGGCTTCTAACTTTTTGGCCATGAATTATTATTATTATTAGAAAATAAATATGAACATGAAACTGAAAGATGTAATGCATGAGTTAGGAAAGAATAAAAAGTTAGGACAAGAAATGAAATTGCTGCATGAACTCAATGTTGTAAAACATGCCACATAGACGCATGTTATATAATGACTACCGGTAATTGCGTACAGGCTGTTAAAAAGACCAAGAATACAGGCATGATTGATAGAAATTATCTTCACGGTTGCTGAATTAGCAGTTTTCTTTTTATTTCTTTTTATATTCAGCTCTTGAAATGAGGGAGAGGAGGGAGGGGTGTCATGTGAGTGAATCCAACTTAGTTCTAGTAACCAAACAGTAATCTAATATCTAATGAATAACTTTTGTTCTTCTTGTAAGACATTAAAAAACAAAATAGTGCAGTGATGCAGCCCTTTTCATATTAACACATGAACCAGAATTTCTTTCCTAAGCTTAAACAAAATCAAACACATACCAACTTGGAATTGACATCTTGTATTATCGTTGGGTGACAAACAAATCTGATATCATCCACTTTCAGCTCAAATTTCCGACCACACAGTTCGGTTTTAGTAGCTAAAATGTGAGCCAGAATTTCATCAGAGTACCTGTTGAGAAGTCAAAAAACGAACATTTAAGTAAATTATTTTTAGAATTGCCATTGTGTAATAAATAGCTATACTGCTCACATATAAAGTTTTATTACCCCAATTCAGAATAGACAACTGATTTAAGTATTGATGAAGCAATAAAATCTATTTGCACCACTAGACCTTTAGGAAATGTTATGTCAGTCTAAGTTGAGACTGGTAGTTAAAAAAAATAAGGATCTCAATAAATTTGTAATCATAAACACTTTCTTTACAAGGGGAGCTAAACATGGCCATGAGAATAAATATTGCAGAACATTTGCTACATTCATGTTATGGGATCTTGAGATTCCCGAAATTTGTAATCCTTTGTGTTTGCAGAGGGATTACAGCAGTCGTGTTCATGTTTGTCTGGATCCACTTGGGGCCGACTCAGCTCGTGTCGAAATCACGCCCTCATTCGTTGATCTCATATTTGACACAAACATGGAAAACGATACGCATATGATGATGATAATAATAATTGCTATATTGAAATTATATTTATTTGCTGTTACGGTATTTATCACGAGTCATCGTACACATGAACGGCAAAGAAGAATTGACAAACAATGGTTTTTTCATGGTGATGTAGCATTGGAACAACAAAAAAACCGTTGCAGCAGCACATAAATATGTGTGGCTGATGACGGTTTGAATTTATTTCATTCATTACTATAGCATCCAACCATATATAGCTGCACTTCCCTTCATCGTCATTTCATACTAGTATGAATCAGCATATGTTCTCTTAAATTCAACACCAAAGGTGTGATTTCTGTTCATGCCGAGCGTTCAGGCAGCAAATTTCAACACATGATGAGTTTCGGTCCTGAGCACCCAACAGGACAGAGATTGAGTCCAGAATCACGAACGCCACTATTAGCTAGTATAGTTGGAATTGAATAGGGTACTTCATAGATCATCGTTCAAACAATTGACACTAGTGTAAAAATGCTTTTTCATTTCAACTTTATTTACTGCAAACAGCTCTGTTTGACAACTTTATACACGCCTGTAGAACAACTCAAATTGTTTAAAAATTATAAGCACCTTTCACTAAAAAAAAGATTTTGATTTCATTATTATAAGGTTACCTCGAGGAGACCAAATCTAAAAAAAAATATCGGGTCATCACACAATTTATTAAGAAAAGAGTAAAAATATCATGATAAAATTATTACGAAAAGTACCATGTACCGGTACCATGTATGCTCTATTAAAAGCACATGTCTGTATAGTATAATGGATCATTAAATATCTGATCATAGACACACCATGCTACTAATACAGGCAAATACAATATTATTTGTATGAATTCCCAAATTTTTAAAACATTTAAGGTATAGATGTAGGTTCATGGGCACTTGGAGTGATTTTTATTATTTTTTGGCTTTTTCTTACCAAGACAGTCTTGGCCAGAAACTGTTAAAGTTTTGGAGCTCTATCATATGTGAAACCTACTCAAAAATCCATTTTAAAATATAGGGAATCAAGGCACGCGTATGTGATTAAAAATCCGGAAAGAGTGTTTACGTTGCTCTTTGATTGATACGTCACTGTTGATACAAGTATATGCAAATATGTTACTGGCCTACGCACACATTCGGTGTGTGACTTCCTGTCCTGGCCTCCTGTTTATATACGCAAGCGTGATCAACTGGTCCAACAGACAGAACGTAGACGCTTCCAACATGCCACGCGGAGTGAAAAGATGCAGAGGCAGGAAAAAGAAGACAACATCGGACAAAATGCCAGAGAGTACGAAAGCAAAATTGCGTGACAGCGATCGAGGTTCTTATTACGAACAGTACTTTTCCAGCTCTTCTGAAAGTGAATCTGAGTCTACTGAATCTGAAAGGGAATCTGATGACTGTAACTTCCTCCCCGTCTCAGCCAAGAAACTGCAGTCTGAAGTTGCAGAAAACGTATTCGAAAAGTCCAAAGAAAAACTCAGATTGATGGACGTCGTTACTTTGAACGAAACGCTTCAAAATATATGCGTGTGTGCCGTTTGCAATCGCGGAATTTTGGAGCTGTTTAATTTAAATTTAATTTAGTGCGGTTCCAATGTGATAATATTTTTTCCATTGTATATACATTGTACAACAGAATATTCTCCCTCATAATGCATTGCATATACACA